CACACGGGTTTACCTATCACCAGTCTTAGATTCTGAGGGTGATTACATGTGCTAATCTAACGAACTCCACTGTGTCACATCGGCACGCATTTTTATATTAAGCTGGAGTTAACGGGCGAATCAACTTAAATCGGACGGAATCTCTCGCGTGTGACATTCGCGCGTGACTGCCGATATCATGTGTGATTATTTTTTTTTATTGGGAAGTTTACGGTTGTGCGCTAGCTGGGATACTCTCAAGACACTTGCATCTAAATAGCCTGATGATTAGATCCCTTAACCAAAGCCTTCGGCCAAAAAGCTTGGTCGCAAGGCAGTGGGTGGATGCCTCAATTCTACTATAGTATAAGAGTTTTTGAGGAGCAAGCCGCTTTGTATGCTTTACCCTCGGACCTGAAGGGGCAGGTGACTGTTTTTGTCAGACCTCTATTCATGAACCAATGTTGTGTGTCAAACTCGGTGGTTAAGATATACCCCCAGTACCACTTATTGGGTCACTGAAGTAGACAAGCCGGCGCACCACAATAAAGCCAAGTCGCTGCAGCCGATGGTGTCATATCACTTAGAGGTGATGGCTGTTTGCATATTCAGCTCCTGCCGAACGGATTTCCGTTAACACAGTCGTATTTCAAGTCACACGGGTTTACCTATCACCAGTCTTAGATTCTGAGGGTGATTACATGTGCTAATCTAACGAACTCCACTGTGTCACATCGGCACGCATTTTTATATTAAGCTGGAGTTAACGGGCGAATCAACTTAAATCGGACGGAATCTCTCGCGTGTGACATTCCTCATCTGATTGTACTGCACATAATCCGTTTCAGCTGAAACAATATTCATCGTATCCATGTTTTTTCCTTCATAAGACTTTATTCGTAAACTTGACGAGAACTCTGGACAACGCACTACCGGTCCCGCTTCTTTTGAGACTCAGCTGGTTGTACCAGTCCCCCAGTCTTCATCAATTTTGTTTCTTAAATAAACGCCAACTTCTGGTGGTAAACACGTGTACAAATTCAGTTGAATTTCACTCGCTTCTTCCACCAACACCAAGTTAATTGGCAACTGGGTGTTTATCGCCACTTAAGAAACAAAACTAAAAAAATCGTTCAATTAGGACACCATGCAGGTGCTTAGTTGCCACGCCCCCCGAAAGAAGTACTTCGGCTGAGACATTGCCAGGTTGCCCAAACCTAGAGAAAAGCAGTCTAGGTGCGGATGTTGAGTTTGAACCAGGAACTTCCTTGTCAGTAGGTGTGCGCCTCAACCACTGAGCCCTCCTCGAGTTCAATCATCAAATACATGCAGTTTGATGTTCAAATTTGAAATAAGTTTGGCGAGTGCTAGGGAGTTGGGCCTCTCTGATGAATCCGATCAAGAACTTACTCAGTGATAAGCTATCCAACACATGGGCACCCAGCTACTCCTAACTTTCAGGTTGGGTGTATTGACGCACTTACTGACCGGAATATCCTTGGTTCGAAACGAACCCCGACGTCTCGATTCCTCCTGGACGACCTGACAGTATCTCAGCCCGTATGCTTCCTTCGGGTGGCATGGCAACTAGGCATCGAGCTCAGTGATTACATTTGGCGATGTTGTGCCGTCCCATATCGCAAGTACTTCCTCTCAGGTCCATATGGCTCTCAACAACTTGGCAAATTGTAGAGTACAAGTACAAGTACAAGTACAAGCTCCCTTTTTAGGTTAAGATGTACCAAGCGTTTCGAACAGAAGTTAATTTAGCTCAGCTATGAAACCAGTAAGAATGACACATGATGTCGAGCGGGATATTAGCCTCGCCCGCTTAACACGGAAATAAACAACGCCAAATGCTCACCATTGAACGCAACAAGATGTCACATTTTGGTGGTCTGCACTCTACACCTTCCATCCAACCATCAATATATCAATCTACTTGCTATATACATGTACCATATGCACAATGGTTCCAGGTGCTACAGTTTCGATCACCGGAAAGTGGGAGAGTGTGGGACCTACGGCCAAGCCTTGGAGTCGGTGGCATTTTCAGTTAGCTAGGCATTGAAGGGGATGGCTTTGATGCACGAGCGCCATTGAATGCGCGATTGAGCCATTTCTGCCAGTGTTATTAAGAATAGGTGTGTTGTGTCCCCGGGGTTCCCATCCAGGGAGGCGACAGTTGTCTACCTAACTGAGTTGGCTGGGTAGTGTTTTCATACTTCGTTGCCAGGTCATACACTGTCCACCTCTCGATCGCTTCCACTCAGAACATGGCTGGGCGGAAGGAGCTCTTCGTGGCAGACGGTCTTCTGGTGTGAGGAGTACATATCCTAACCAAAATAACGTGTGAAGCGTGAGTAATTCATGGGAGAGTTACTAAGACTAAGAGCTACCAAAGATCATCTGGCATACCTCAGTATTACTAAACAGATGTTCCCACCAGACCCGAACAATCTTTGGTGACACTGATGGACATCCTCCAAAGAACATAGCCTAGCCCCGCCGCCCGGCTTCGTGCGACACGCTGGGCCTTGGTTGGAAGAACAAGAGTTCTTTGCTGGTGACCAAGTCATCCAACCTTTTGTTAGTGGGACGTTGAGTTTCGTCAGGTAGGTGGTTTTCTCGGATGCAATTCTTTTTAGTTCATAATTATTTCGGTGACTCAAAACATCATCGAAAGGATTTTGTGATTAGCTTCTCTGTCTACAGCATCTGGCTGGCACACTAGGGAACCTAACTGTTCCCTGGCTGCAAATTGAAATGAGTTACAGTGGTTCGAACTGTTGCAGTTCTTTACACACAATTGGTAGGAATATAGAAGGCGGACAACTTCGTATTGAAAGCGATCGCTTTCACCCGTCTAATGTAGACACTGGACACCATAGGTTATGGATTTAACTTTTTCCCATTCGTTACAGAATGGTCCTAACCTAAACTGCGTTTTTACTGGTTCATTTTTTAGTATTTTACCGTAGATTTTTGTCTTCCCTCTCAGGGACGCTTGCACGGAGCACATGTATGCGTGTAAAGGTCTCTGTGAGACAGTCGTCGCGCATGCGAGGCATGTGCTATCATCGGTGTAGCCCACGAGATGTAACAAGCTCTCCTGTCGGAGGCGAGTTGTTTCTCCCCCCCTCCCCACCACCACAAAATACATTAAACTTTTACATGGATAACGTTCCGGAGCCCGTCATTAGTAAAAGCCTAGTGCCTTCGTCTGTCTTTCCTCCACTGTGATCTGTGTAACAGGAAATGGTTCAGTGGTCAGAGGGCGAATTTAGTGACCGGAAGGTTCGTGGTTCGAACCCGACATCTGCCTCTCTGTTTCCCCTGTCTACAGTTGGGGAACCTGGCAATATCTCATTACTCCTGCTTCCTTCGGGTGGCATTGCAGCTAGGCACCGAAAGGGTGGTATAGCTGAACGACTAGTGTAACAAGAGCGATTGTATCGAAACATTGTAAGCTCTACCATTGACAAGGAAGCTCACTTCATATCGGCGCAATTATGTCATTGCCTAACATTATTATGGCATGCGCACAACCTAGCTGATGCAACCGATGTCCTGCACGTGTGCTCGTCGGCAAAGTACGCCCATGTTGCCTGTAAAATGCCGATATTTGGCTTACTAAATCCCGGATAGTGGACACCTTTTGAATGCATCTATTTGTTTGCGACACATCCAAACAGTTTGATTTGTCTGGTGTGCGCCCGTCACGAGTTTTATGTAGGGCTCGATACGGATAACCGTTTAACTGTTTAACGGCGAAGAGAATAGAAACTGGGGAAATTGTTCAAGTTTTTACCATCATCATCATTATCACTAACAGCAACTCCACGTCAGTCTCATACAATCACGGCAGTTTATTTAAATAAAGCCCCATATGGAGAAGAAAAAAGTGGATCAGGAAGCGAGACCCGGGGTCAGTCCACCACAAACACCCGAGGTGCTTGAATCTCCAACACATTCAGGAAATCAGAATAGAGACTGACAGCTAGTGACAGGTTGGCTGACTTATCGTTTGATACCTCCGAACAAACACAGGGATGGTCACCTGGACGTCATCCTGGTGGGAGGATGGCACATGAATTTCTCGTAAGTATGCCATTCTTTTTTGTTGCATCATATTCCGTCCACCACTCATTTTCCTCCACCCAGGCACGAAAACAAAACCCTTCTTGGCAAGCGATAACCCGGCATATATGGCGCATGATCCAGCTTGCGGTGTTGTATGCACTCCTTGAATGAAGTCCCTGGTGCTTTACCATAGATCCGTTTCCTGACCACCTCCAGCTATGTTTCTGAGACGTCGGTGGTCAAGGACCTGAATTTGTCCCAGTTCTGGAAGTTCAGCTACTTTCAAACTTCTTACGTAGATGTGCTCAACAAGTGTCGATCAAACGCCATCGTCCTGATGTTTGGCCATGTGTCGCACCGCAAAAGTCTATTTGATAGGCACACCGCCGATTCTTTGGCAGCAGCCTATACCACTGGTCGTTCCGAGATATCGGTAAAGGCCTGAAGGTCAATCACATATGGGGCGAGATGGCCCAAGTGGTTAGAGTGCGAATTTACTGACCGGAAGGTCCGTGGTTCGAATCCGACCTCCGCCACTCGACTTCCCCTGTCTAGGCTTGGGCAACCTGGCAGTATCCCAGCCCTCGTGCTTCCTTCGGGTGGCATGGCAGCTAGGCACCGGAAGGGTGCTACAGCTGAACGCTTTATCTTTTTTTTATCTTGGCCATGAGATCGTACTACAGTGGTGGTTTGTATGCCGTTTTCTCACGACTGATGCCATATGGTTTTTGACTCGATACCTACTTCCGTTTAAGAATGTTCCGTTGACCATTTATCATTTGTTCTATTTATCGTTATGACAACCACCGTCGGCTGTGCACGGCCATTGTGATTACACATACATTGTCCCATCTCATTTTCAAGCCCCTGGGAACGTGGGGATCATATTGCTTGCAAGCTGATTTGCTGAGTTTTCATCCTCGTTTACATTGTTCTAGGTGGAGGAAGCCGCTGTTCGAGACAAAGCTGTTGAATCCCTGCGTAAACTTGCTGTCTTACATAGTTTGGAAGCTATGGAAGAGCATTTCTTCCCTCTTGTCCAGCGTCTGGTGCTGGGAGACTGGTTTACCAGTAGAACGTCCGCGTGTGCTCTCCTAAGTGTCGTCTACCCACGCATTCGTCCCGCAAAACGTCAGATTCTAATGGAGATGTTGAAGAAGCTATCAGAGTAAGCCCCCTTTAGTGGGTTCACTTATGATAAGAGCTTGTGGCTTCACTGGAATGTTTTTGCTTCATTACTTTTATGGGATTTATGAGGTTTTTTCAATGGGTTGTGAGTGTATTTCGTTGATTAAACGATTTCGAACACCTTTTTAGTGCTGGTTGCTTGCTTGTAAGGTCCACTGTTCTGTTCCCTGGAGTAATCGAGCACTAGTGACCCACCAAAAAGAGGTTTGTTTGCAGGGGTGGTTTTCAGTGTGTGATCTGTTTAAGAGCCTAATCGTATATTTTGAATGCATCAGTTCGGAATCGTTTGTACCCATCTCAATCTATCTCCATGACATTTCACTCGTTTACCGTACATTCCATCCTTCACACAAAGTATTTTTTCTGTTTCGCTCTTTCCTCTGTCCAAGAAGACTAAGGAAAGGGACCAACGGGTTCCGGGACTTAACCACTGCCGAGAAGATTCAGTGGGTTCGTGTCGTCTAATTTGATTGTGTTGGCAGCGTACCTCATGAACCAAAGATCACTAAGAACAACGGAATAGTTCACCAATATTTGCAGCAACCAGCATCAACCGACGTTCGTTACATAGGCGCTACTCTGACCTACCCCGACGGCAGTGGCGTCGCCAGGAGCACTTTGAAATTCTAATGCGAGCAGAGTCAATTGTTTTTTGTTCAATATATTGTTCTTCTGAAACGATAATAAGGCAGGCGGAAAAAGCTAACCTGTCTCAGCGTCACAGAAATCTAAAAATGTATTTATAACGTTTCCATTTCAAACCTCTTGATTCTGGAAAAAGTACATCTTTTTCTTGTAAACATCTGTCGTGAGCCAAGTGAGAATACCTTCTGGAGTTATGATCATCGTGCACGATTCGTCCACTTCACTCTTAGGGTGCATAAAAGTGGTTCTCGTTTATGGCATACTGGAATGCTCCATTTCTGTACCTTTAGGTGATCGTATGTCCGTCTTATGCCTGAGCGACCCTTAGTCAATCCGTAAGGTATATTTTGGATGAGTCTACCGTGATCGTTACAGGAACTTGAACCCTTAGTTGCTTAATCGGAGAAGAATCGTCGAGGGACCGTGTAACAGAAAAACGGAAAAAGAAAGAATGAAGAGCAACCAGGATATTGAAGATGAATGTGATTCTGTGAGGTTCCGAACAGATGGGACGATGGATGATGAGAGGTAATAAACCAAGTTGACGTGGCCGTCCAAACTGAGCGAAGATCTGAAGCCCCGATAGAATGACAGTGATATTTTACTGTGTTGCGTGGATTCTCGTCTGCTAATTCATTGGGCTTTCCAGTCTGGGGTTTAGGAGAGGCAAACTACACACTGCCGCAATGGTTTGGGGGTTGATGCTTCCTCAGTGATTTTCAACAAACCATTCTCCTTCATTTATATTGTTTCTGTCTGAACTGGTGCACTTCAGATCCATGGGTTGAACGGCTGCTGACGGGCCGTCAAGTTTTATGGGTTGGTTGCACTTATGCGTTTTCCTTCTGTGTATGGTACGCAGCACAGCGTAATATTCCGAAATCCAATCATGTCAGACTTTCTACCAGTATTTACCATATCTTTTTCCAGAGATGATACACCAATGGTTCGGCGTGGCATTGCTGGTCGTTTGGGTGAACTCGCTTTGGTCATGTGCGGTTCTGTGAAACCTACAGACTCACAATCTGATGACAGTGGCAGTCCCGTAGTCAACGGGACTCATGTCAAGTCTGGAGATACAAGTTCATCCAGCGAGACAGCACCTCCTGATGTTACATCAAACATCAAAGGTGGAAATCGGCAGTCAGTAGATACAGTTGCAGCACTTGGTGGTGATGCTCCTACAGGACAACAACAATCTTTATCAGGTAACCAGGCAACGGGCAGCCGAACTGTGACGGCCGAGCTAGCCTTGGATCCGACGGTTGAGCGAAAGAATATATTGTCTGTGATTGTTCCTGTATTTAGTCGCCTTCTCCTGGATGACCAAGAATCTGTTCGTCTAATGGCTGTGGAGTCCTTTATGGGTCTGGTTCAGGCATTGGGGCCAGCCGACACGGAAGCGAACCTTCTAGATCTTATTGAACAGACTGTGTCCGACAGTGCGTGGCGCGTGCGGTGTATGCTCGCCGAGAAATGTGTTAGCCTGTTTGTACTCCTGTCGCCCCAAGTTGCTCGAAATAGTTTGGTGGTAAGTTTAGCATCGAGGGCTCCACACGGTTCCCTAAATTGTGTTAACAGCTTTACCGAGTTACGTAACCACGAGCAGAGCCATGACAACGAGTCATTTGTTCATTACCATTCATATCTGAGAAGTTCTACCGTTCAGCTGACGGTTATGCTTTATTCATATCACTTTGTTCTCCTGGCAGCAAAATTGTCGGCCCTCTGTCATATCATTGTTAATACCCGTTACCTTCAGCGTAGCTGATGGTCTCTGAGGAAATTTAAACTCGGAAACTGAAACCACTCAAGGTGTGTTCATGATCTCTTCAGGCACGACATAATCGACGGTCTGACATACCACATTCTTTGTTTCCTCTTGTCTGACTGCCATTCCGAGACGTGTTGCACACGGTAGCGTCGGCAAATAACCCCTGTTTCTCCGATGTTTTGTGATGGATTGACGGATAACGTTTTCACTTGTTTCCCACACTGCCTGAAACGTCTTGTCCTTCTACTATATGCTAAGAAAGAATCTTGTTTAAAAGTTTTTCGCTAAGCCGTCCTTGACTAACTACTGAATAAATACCGACACCGGAAGTTGTCAATCTGAATCGATCTTTGTCGTGATTTTCTCTCTTTTGTGGCGGACAAGGACCTTAGTCCTAGTTATACACACTAGGACAAAACCAAACGGCACCGTTACAAAATTTCAGCTGAGCTGTATTTTCCTCTATGTCAGATCAGCTTCCTAGTCACATCCGTCAGGTTTGTAGATAACATACAGTACCTTGTGTACACTACATATCAGCGTACAGGCTTTAGTCGGTCATCCCCTAGACATCGATGCGCCTAGGTTCTGAAACTGCGATCTTCGAACTGATCCTACTGGGCCCATAATTGTACGCCTTATCATCCAATCTGCATAACATGTTGCGGACGGTTGCAGCTCTGTAAGGCAAAACAAGTGATCACAATCTTGGTGCCCATGCTACTTTTGGGCAAGTCTTTCGCACATACGGTCTTTGTGACAGATCTCATCCAGAAGGATTCTTTGGTTTTGACGAGTAACTAAAAGTCAGAGGTGAATAGACCAAAGTTCGCGCTATTTTTATTGGGTCTGTGGAACTTCATGTTGGATGCACAAATTTCGTGTTATTAACCGCTGCCTCACCGGTAGTTTCTGTCACCGTTGTCCTCATTGCATATGGAACCCTTTACCGTGATATTCATCGAAGTGTGCTTGCACGAACATTTGTCAATCCTGGGTAATCCACACGTTTCTCACACAATGAGACTCATTAAATGCACGGCGAAAACTCATTTGCTTGGAAATCAGATCCAAATTTCACACCATACTACCACCTCGTGCCTCACTGGTATTTTCACATGGAACCGGAGCTATTGGGGTAACAGTGTACAATGGGGGTCGTTCCCTGAAGAGCTGAGAAATTCTAACCCACTGTGTTCTTCAGTTTACTACGCAGTGGACATACATGCATGATAGGTGAGCTAATGGACACGCTTTCCAAGTTAGGTTGCATTGAACGGTCACATTTTTGGAAGTAGCGTAACGTTCCATTACATCTTTCTTGTCGCTTCTTGCAGCCCCTCTTCATTGGTCTCTTGCGCGACCAAGAGGCGGAAGTTCGAGCGGTTGCTGCCAGTAAAATAAAGTCATTTGCGCGCTGTCTCCTTGGACTTTCGCCTGTCGATCCGAATGCGCCCAACCCATCCAATCCGGTGGAACAGCTGGATGCGTCAACGGACTTGACAAAATCCAGCGAGGCCCCTGCACAAGTTACTCGGATTCACATTGACAGTGATGTTGATATGGAGAAGATGGCGGTTGTGGCAGCGGCCGACGAGACAGTCATGACCAAGTTATTACCAGCTATCAGAACCCTAGCGGATGACTCAAATTCCCACGTTCGGTCTGCTCTGTCCAGTGCTATCCTGGGACTTGCACCGTTAATCGGTCGGAATTTGACAGTAGAGCATTTACTACCCATTCTGCTAACCTATCTGAAAGATGACAGTCCAGATGTTCGATTCAACTTGATATCTAATTTGGAGCAATTGAATTGTGTGATTGGCTTGGATCACGTTTCGAGCAGTCTGCTTCCATCGGTGATTCAGTTGGCCGAGGACCCCAAATGGCGAGTTCGTCTAGTCCTAATTGAGTACATGCCTTCGCTGGCTGATCAGTTGGGTGTACATATGTTCAACGGACAGTTGACAGAAATTTGTCTGGCCTGGCTGGTAGACGAGGTTTGTGCGATTCGCGAAGCTGCAGTGGAGAATCTCGTGAAACTGGGTGTCAAATTTGGATCAGAATGGATGAATCAGACATTTGTGCCTCAGGTAAGCGAGTCGAAGCACCCGTGATCCTCCACACCTCGGTACCAGCTAGAGTTGCACTTTTAGAAACAGTTTTCGGGTGTAGATTTAAAACTGCAATTAGGAAATTCATTCTCACAGTCTTTTTCATTTGAGCACTCTTGGGTTAGCACCGTAGTAAGTCACAACGCGACTGTGTACCGTGTCTGTGAGGCACCAACCCTGTAAAAAATGTCAATTTAAAAGGACTTACTGTACGTCATACTTTATAAAGATTAGGTGTCAGCTACTCGTTGAATACTTTGGATGATGCAGTGCGAGTTTCTAACCGATAGGTTCGGCCGCCAAAATGCGTTGATTTCTTTTGGCAGCATTCTGGCCCTTACACCACCCACAAGTGATTGTGTTCGCCGAAAGCCAAACATATTCTTTTGGTGTCATCTTGCGGGGGCGAAATGGACAAAGTTGTTAGAGCGCGAATTTACTAAGTCTGTGGAAAGTCTGTGGTTCGAACCCGACCTGTGCCTCTCGACTTTCTTTTCCTAGGCCTGGGAGACCTGGCAGTGTCCCAGCCCTCGTGCCTCCGTTGTCATCTTGTGTAGTGGCTTACCTCCTCTAATTGGTTTGTAACACTTTGAGGAACCTAACATGTGGGATCTATTAGGTAAATCTCGCGGTTTCTTGAGCTTATGAAAACTTTGCATGCGCATCGCCGAGTTTTCTGAATATTCTGCGGGGGGCTGATTCACACTGTTCTATGCTTCGGATGGTTGCATCATCTGGGTTGTGCTCCTGGTGTATGAACTGGTTACTTCCTCGGACCACTGATTGTTGTAGATGCTTAACATGTGCACAATGACGGCAGTCGTTCATCGACCAAGGTAAGGTGCTGAATGCGGCGAGATTAGAGAGGTGAACATAACTGTCTGGATGTTCTACAACCAGTTTTCAGAATTTAAAGGTTCGGCCTGTCTGGAGGCGTGGGCGGTCATTTGGATTGACAACCAGGGTTGCACAGAGGCCAATTTCACTTCTGGCATCACCGTGTTTGTGTTTCTTAGGTAACGTTCCACCAGACCTGGATGTACATTCTGTCAATATACTTTTCTCGCTAACATACGTGTCCAACTGTACAGTTCTTTGGTGAAAAGTTCCAGAGCGCTAGACAGTATTGTACCTCAATCGGACTGACGACTGTCCGTTCATTAATACCATGAATACTTAGGAAGGTATCCTCGATTGTAAGAAATTGCTTAAAGACTTAGGTACTCACTACTGAATAACAAGTGCCGGATCCATGCTTGGCCCGGGTTTGGAAACCCAGCAGAAGCGCCTGTCTACGCCGCATCCGAATCATACTTTATCAATACTTTTTTACGTGTAAGAATTACAACCTTATGATCGGAACATTCATACGACTGGGTAAGCATACTTCCTTATTACCCGCATCTGAATTTTGTCAGCTGAGGAGCAATTCTTGTAATACGTGAGCTTTGGTGTAAACAATAACTCATCGTCATGTGAAACTGATTGAATACCGTTCAGTTGACACGCGATGAGCGATTGATTCCAAAACCTAGTCGTTCCGGCTCAGTGATTATCAGCGTAATCGGAAATAACTTAGTTTTGTCTATCCTGATACGAAAACTGACCTGGTTTCGAGTTCACGTTTTTAGCCCTCATACCGCTGGGAATACTTTTCGGGTGGTTTTTAGTAGTAATACCAATAGTAGTGACAAGAATAATACATGGTCAAAATCGGAGCACTGTGATCGGGAGTGAGATGCTGGAATCCCGGGTTACGAACTAGATGGTTCTCGAAATGCTCAACGTGATCCGATGGTCTAGCGAAAGATGAAATTTCCATCAGGATTGGGAAGGCAGAGAAGCTTTTGTGGACCTACGTCACTTTTGGCGTAGGCTTGACATCAGCTTATCCGTCAAGGGTCGTGTTGGCGGTCGAGAAATCAAAAGTCGTTCAGCTGTAGCACCCTTTCGGTGCCTAGCTGCCATACCACCCGAAGGAAGCACGAGGGCTGGGATACTGCCAGGTTTCCCAAACCCAGGCAGGGGATGTCGAGATGCAGAGGTCGAGTTCGTACCACGAAGCTCCCGGTCAGTAAATTCGCGCTGTAACCACTTGGGCCATCTCACCCACCTCCTCTCATACAGTGCAGTACTGCAGTGCAATCCATATTGCTATACGGATCAGAAACCTGGTCGGTGCGCGCCGAGGACGTCAAAATATTTTCAACATTTGAGCATCGGTGTTGTCGGAGCATTGCTCGAGTTTGGTGGGAACATCGGATCAGGAATGTGGAAATACGCCGAATGGCATTCAGGCGAAATAATTCACCCAACATAGGTGGACTTATCACGCTGTATAGGTTACGCTGGCTTGGCTACGTGCTCCATATGTCAGTCAACCGACTTCCTCGTAGGGTTCTTTTTGCAGGACCACGGTTAAGGTGGAAATGAGCCTGGGGAGGTCAAAAAATGACTCGACAGCGACGTATATCAGCCATTACCAGTAAACTCCTCTGCGCTGGTCATTGCCATCTCTCTGGATAGGGACCCCGAGACCGACTACGATTTCGACATTGTCAGACACGTCCAAGTCCCGCCCTCAATGGCGCTCGTGCACCCGACCTATTGCCTTCAATGCAAGGCTTCCTTCCCAATCCCCCATTTTAACGGTCCTCTGACAGTCCTGTATTTACTCACCAATTTATCAGATCCCGTCTCCAGTGCATAGCTACCTACTCTACTTCCCCAAATCATCGATGGAAGAAATTGTGGCAGCTACAACCACTGTACGAAAAGTACGTAGTCCTTACGGCTGTTGATGATGGTGATGATGATGATACATCTTTTTGGACGAAGAATTATTTCAGTGCCGGTAGTCTGTATCAGGTGTCCGGTTAAGTGTACATTGACCTTGAGCCGTGCATAATTTACAAGACGCTTTCTGTTACTACGTTCTTGCTAAGTGGGTTTGCAGCAACCTGTCGGAACTAGTGATTTTCGGAAGTACAAATGGATGACATAACGACCTCGGATTAGTCTCGAACCATTCAGCAGTCTTCTGGAACTTGTCTGTGGATACCTTTGTGTTACCAATTTTGTGACTGTCACGTGCGTGGTCAGTGCCAATCTTCGCATCCGGTCTAAATTAGTGCACCTGGTTTGGCGAACAAGCCGTAGGTGATAGCGGAGATTTGCTGTCGTTGACACTACTGTCCAGGTTTCGTCTAAATTGCCTCTTCGTAATCAAATCGACTTTAGTGACCTCGTTGCTTCAATCCCGAGTCGTACTCCTTCAATTGAGATTTCATCCCAGAGGAGAAGATTAATGCTGCAAAACTGAGAAACATCACACAACAGTTTCATTCCTGTCAAAGATATTCAGTGGTGTGTTTCACGTATGTTTGAGGGCGAGACGGGCCAAGTGGTTAGAGCGCGAATTTACTGACCGGAAGGTCCTTGGTTCGAACCCGACCTTTGCCTCTCGACTTTCACTGTCTAGGCTTGGGCAACCTGACAGTATCCCAGCCCTCGTGCCCCTTTCGTGTGTCATGGCAGCTCGGCATCAAAAGGGTACTACAGCTGAACGGAAAAAAGTTTGAGGGGCTTCGATTCCCATACTTCCCTTTAGCAGTGGAACAGCGTGCTGCACCAGCTCTGATGAAACCTCAGAATAAATCGGGATCTACAGTTGTGAGACCACTGCTTCACAACAGTGGCCAAGCAGACCAGGAAGCAACAACTGCATGAAAATCAAACAGCCAGATAGCTCGTAGCCACCTAAAATGCGAACAGTGAAAATGCGCAACGAGCAGCCGAAACAGAGGAGTTGCCACCAAATCCCGAACGGTAACGATCGACCTGCAGGAACTGAGCTATGATCGTTGGCTTGTTAGCTGAGCTGGGCAATTTGATTGCAAACGTTTCATCACCAATCGAGGTGACATCACCCGTGTTTTATTGGGGAGCGTAGTGTTGCGTAGCGGTGGGTTAGTGATGAAACGTTGCAGTTCAGATTGCCCAGTTCAGCGAACAAACCAACGACTATCTACACCACCTGAGCTACCGACATTTTCCTCTGTAGAGAACTGAGCTGTGCACAGAAACGCATATCCAACTCCTCCTTGACACATCGGTTCAGCGATCATATGTCCGCTCAAACTAACCTGAAAGGAGGAAGGAAGGAAGGAAGTAGTTCCTTGTTTCGGTGGACACTTTGCACATTCGAAGTGTGAATTTCTACCTCAGCACTTCCCACTTTGTGCTGCTTCATAGCTTCAGCTTGAGAAACTTTAGCTTGTTTATAGCTAGCTGCATAAGTCGTGCCTGCACTGTGACTGCAAGAATCGATAAACCCATCGTCAAACCGTGTGCAATATTTGTCAGCTTGCTTCATCGTTGGCCGCGCAATCAAATAGCACTGAGGCAAAAGGGTGTGTCTACAAAATGACTGTGTGGAACATGGTCTGCTCATAGAGGGTCATGGCGTGGCTCAAGTACAACACATCAGTTGAGCTAACTCATCATAGAAATCCTCTTGCATCTTTTGTACCTCCATGTAGGGGAATCTTCTTGTTATTCAGTTTGAAGTAGTAAGCTTTTTGGTTTTGAATGGAGACCAAAGAAGGTGGTTCATGCCACGCAACAGCCAATTCTTGTTTACATATTTTCTCCAACTCAGTTTTTGGTGCATTTATTGTTTAATAAAGAGAGAAAGTAGAGATGAAACTCAAACCTTTCGACAAAATCTCACGTGGGACGGTCACGGACAAGACTCCTGCACATTCGAACAAAACGGTATTTATCGTTTCAGAAGGGCTTTTTTCTGATTGATTAAAAACAAGTTTGCGTACCTAATAATCGTTCTACAGTAAAACGATCGATCCAGGTTCTCTATGAACCTTCCCCATGCCACGATAGAAAGCTTTGACTAGACTTTGTCTAAGAAGTCACTACGCCCTCAGTCTGGGTCGATGATACCCGTGTACTCCAGGGATTTTGCCACATACAGGGAGAGTCAGATGGAACTATGCCGGGTAGGTGCGTTGAGGACACTCCCGCCCCGTCATGGCCACCAATCCTGCTTCACCTAATTTCTTTTATGGTCACTTTCCTCGCCAGCTAATGTGTGAGCTGAGCTGAAGAAAACCGGCTTGTTTCCGGTTGGTCACTATGATGCAGATAACATCCAGTCACGTGGATAACGCAAAAGATGTGTGTCGTTTGTGGCTTACTGTGCAGTGGCATTAGTCTCAACTGCCCGATGCTTGTCTCCGACAAACTGGCGATATCCTCGTCGTGCCTGTGAAAAATAGAGCACTGTGGACTTCGAGACTTCGAACAGATGTCAGGCTCCTACAGAAAAAGGCGTCACTCCATACGCAGACTCATTCTATCGTCATAGTGATAACAGAACAGGAGCTACATTCTGGATGATATCAGTCATTCAGCTTCTGTTAAACCGCGAAGTCTAATTTCGGATGCTTCAGCGAAGTAGTTTACATAAATTGTCTTTCACGAGAGGTCTTTCGGGGTTAGTGCAAGACAATCACGCACCTCTAGTGACTTCACCGACCTCGGAGATTCACGACACAGATGCGAATTGAGCGATTGAACTTTTGTTATGAGTGTCCCCCCAATCACTTTGCAAAATGCAGCCCATTAAGGAACTGTCTTCAGCCTTTTGAAGCACGTACAACGCCTTCATGCCATTTCTTCGGAATGGAGCTGCTGAACATTTCGTTAAAAAACAACAGTTTTTCTCTTCCTTCCCCTATGCCACACTACTATTCAGCTGTTTCGTTGCAGTGCATTTGACCGCACTCAAAAGCAGTTCAGTAGAAGTCTGAAATTGGAAATGTTTATCTACCTGAACGATGTGCTTTCGCTCGAACTGTTCACACTAGAAACAGTTTGAAGTCCAAGGGGAGAATCTCCAGCTACGTGTACAACCGGAACTACAAACTACAATTCTCCGAGAACCTTCCCACATAACACTTGGGGTTTCTGAACCTGGTGGACCCGGTGCTTCTGGAGAAACTTCACTTTTGACACGCCCATAGGACTTGCGGTTCTTTTTTACTTCCAAGGTCTTTTCGTGGCTTGGAGTTGCATCCTTCAGTTTCTCGCCTCACCTGTGTTCGTGTCGTTGTCGGTTCTATTAAATCCGGTACTTCACTAGGGCCAGATGGCCGAAGTGGTTAGAGCGCAGATTTACGACCACAAGGGTCCGTGGTTCGAACCCGACCTCTGCCGCATCTCGACTTCCCCTGTCTAGGCTTGGGTAACCTGCCAGTATCTCAGCCCTCGTGCTTGCTTCGGGTGGCATGGCAGTTAGGCATCGAAAGGGTGCTACACCCGAAAGAAATAAAGAAAGCGTTCAGCTGTAGCACTCTTCCGGTGCCTAGCTGCCATGCCACCCGAAGGAAGCACGAGGGCTGGGATACTGCCAGGTTGCCCAAGCCTACACAGTGTAAGTCGAGTGGCGGTGGTCAGATTCGAACCACGGACCTTCCGGTCAGTAAATTCGCGCTGTAACCACTTGGGCCGTCTCCCTACAGCCGAACGGTACTTCACTACACAGTTGTACAGGTCTGTGTTCACTAGGGGCAAGAAGCATAGACAGTCGTTGTTATCATTTTGCAGTGAATCGTCAGACAACGTACGTCGCCAATCTTTGACGGGATCATAATCATAACTCGAAGCTAAAATGGTCCATTCAGGCATGTTTTGCACCAAGTTTTTTCATGGCTTGTCGATAAAGTGCAAACCACGAAACGTGAGATGTGATTCGAATCTTACTCAGCTTTTTCAACTGCTTCTCGCTAGCTCTGTAGCAGCTGTTCACCGAAAATGTGTCACATCTTTGGAAACGAATTTCGCGTCATCGTTTTGTGACTACTGTTCTTATCTCGACGTCTTGGCAACCAAGAAACCCCTGGTCAGAAACTTGGTGTCTAACTTACTTTAGTTGTTATTCGCACCCGTCTTTTTGTTTTTAGATGGTGATATTGACCTTGGTTTAACTTCTAATTGCCTGGTCACTTGATGACCGTAGGTAGGGAGCACCCAGCATAACTGTTAACCTATTTTCAAACTGGCTGACCACCCGCTTCCGTGCATCATCGTTCCTAGGTTGCGACACTAGCCACAGCTGAAAACTACCTGCACCGCATGATTTGCCTGCAGAGCGTGATTCGGCTCAGCGATATTGTCGGTCCTGCAGTGTGTAAACAGCATTTGCTCCCAGTCGTCTTGTCCATGCAGGCGGACAATGTACCAAACGTGCGGATCAAGGTTAGTGTGTTTGTGTCTGTCTGCGGCCTTTGTTGTGTTTTGTTTTAGAAAACGGCCTAGGATGACTCGTCTTCCGCGTGAGGTCACTCGCTAACTGTCTGACAGCGCTTACCGCGTGACGCACCACACTCCACGAGGGATACATATTGACACAACACCGACTGGCCTGATTTGTTGTGCATTCCTGTGAAATTCCATATCGAACCGTATTGTTCTGTGGTTTTGATATTCTCTGAATTCCGTTCAGATTTGCTGCTGTGTGAGAGTGGAGGCTACACAGTGAATAGGTTCCATGTTTTTACACGCAACTCACTCCAGGGGTTGAAGGAGTTGGCTTCATCCAAGTTTTGGACTATGAAGTTGTTCGAAGTTTGGAAGGAATGCGATTACTTTATTAATCGTGATGCACAGTATCAGCTGATCAATCTTGTGATCACGCAGATTACAGCCCCCATGTGGATTGCAATCAGTCAACTAAACCAACAGACTTGGATTCGACGTTTCCCAAAATAGAGTGGCCCATCTTAGGAACCGAAAGCCCCATAAACGAGAGATGTCCCTTTTTCATAGGCTATGTGGATATCTATCCAGCCGCCTAATGAAGATCAACGCATTTATCCCAAGACCCTTGGAAATGGCGAGGCGTAAACTGTTACCTTTAAAATGCCCAAACAAATATTTTTACCCCTCAACGAGTTGGACGTTTTGTAGCCCGACAACGGTTTGGTAACTTCATGTTGAGTCGCAAGTTGGCGTCTTATAACTCCTATTCCTTTCGAACAGCTGTTAAGTTCAACTAATGTTGAACGCGTCCCTTCGAGAACTCCTCCGCCCTTTAGCATAGTACTAATTCCTAGTGTCCTCTAGATTGTTCGGTTCATCTTGGTTCACCGCCTTCTGCAAAAATGTGCCACAAACGCCCCCTTGTTTCGGAAGTCGTCCCAGAATAACCATTTGTTGGTCCGTCTAGTTTGTTTCTTCCGTTGATTCCACTTATTGCATCTACCTTTTATCCAACTCAACTCTAATTTTCCGATAGTGCGTGACCACCTACTCTCTAAACAGCCAGTTGTGGATCTGAAATTCACTGACTCGTACCTGCTTGTATTCTCCTGTATTAATGAATCACTGAATTCGATCGAATAGCTTGTCATCCAAAGAGGGAAACGGAACTGTTTATAGACTCCTTTCACTGTGATCCTCCATTTACATCCACTTTTATGCTGCTATGTTGAGTCAGGATGAGTCGGTTATGAACAGCTCACATGTATTTATTGCACTCGGCCCACTTTTATTTACATTTACCTTTCCTGCTCCTTCGGAGTGAGACGAACGCTGGAGGGTCTCCGAAACCCCGGTGTTCAAATAGCCTGTGAAGAAAACCTTGTCGATCTGGAATATGCAGGCGACATCGTTCTCATGTTCGAAGAGGAGGAAAAGGCACAAGTATTCTTGGATGAACTGACCAAAGTCATCCCGTCCTTTGGTATGCACTTTGCACCCACAAAGTGTAAGGTCATACTTGTGGACTGAACACGCCACTTACAATCCAGCGAGAGGTACTGGAAGTTGTGGAGCGTTTTACGTATCTTGGAAGTTGTATTAGTTCTGATTGTAGTGTGACAGATGAGGTGAATGCACGAATCTGCAAGGCTCGGGCCGCGTTTGCTAACTTGAGACACCTATGGTATCAGAATGGTTTATCACTGAATCTGAAGGGACGTGTGTATCAAGCTACAGTACGAGCTGTTTTGTTGTATGGCCGTGAGACTTGGCCTATTCGAGCAGCGGAACTGAGACGTGTTCAGGTGTTCGACAATCGTTGTCTCAGAACCATAGCTCGTGTGCGTTGGTATCGGCGAATCCGTAACGAGGTAGTTAGAAAGCGCGTTTTCGGTTGTGTAACGGGTACTTCCATTGAAGAATGTGTCCAGCACCAGAAGGTGCGTTGTTTGGGACACGTGTTACGTATGCCGAACCATCGTTTGCCGAAGAGAGTACTGTTTTCCATGCCCAACTCAGAGTGGCGTAAATAGAGAGGTGGCCAACCCTTGACTTGGCAGAGGAGTATGAATGAGATCACGGAACGCTTGGGTGCTGTCAGTGCTACTCGCCTTCCAGGATGGGGACCGCGTGATCCTCACTGTGCCTGGTTGGAGACACTACATGATATGGCTGCCAACCGATGTCAGTGGCCTTCTTGTTGCCAGTTTCTATCCAGATTGCCTGAGTGAATGTGTGGAGGTGTAGGCACCTCGGAATGATTGTGGTAAGTTAGCGCTAAGTCCCTTTCCCGTCCACCTTTACTCTTTTCTTTACAATAAGGCTTTCAAATAAATCATGGTTGTACGGCAGTGAAGCATCAGTGTTGAACACTGATATCATACTGTCGATGATGATGATGATGAGAGTGGAATTTTCTTTCATTGGATACATCAGACTTACCAAATACTTCATCAAACTGGTGAATTTCAAGTCCCGCGTATGGGATTGGCAACTTTGCCACCGTGTTTCTTGAAAGCTGAATTTTTATCAGCTGTCGAGCTGCATCTACAACGCATTGAGAGCGTCTAGTCGGCAGTTTTGTTATGTCGAAAGTTTAGCGTTCTACTGCGATACTTAAAATTCATGCTTGCTGACCAACCATCGGATTCAGCAGGCACCTTATCGCTCGGACACATGGTACAACAACCATGCTCTCAATGCGTTGCAAATGCAGCTCGACAGCTGACAAAAAGTTGTGTATGTCGCTCGGACATTGGTATAAATCTTGGTAGTCGCAAAATTACTCCTCAAATCAAAATGGCGGGGTAGCTCATCATCATTGGACATTCATGTCGCCGGTGTGGCGTCATTTTGGTACGGTCTGGATATTCACCGCCGCCGTGTGCTTCATACAGCTCTGTGGATTAGGCAAACGGTCGCAGAATATATATGAAATGCTGTGTTTGTTTTGGTAACTCCGAAGTATCGCTCGGGTCTGGTGGGAATACTGGATTAACAATACGGTTGTACGCCAAACGATGTCTCGATAGGACTCCTGCAATAGACGAGCTAATCACATAACATTGTCGGTATGTACCCCATGTCAGCCGGCCATGTACCCCGCGTAGCACGTTTTACCTAGCGATTGGTGGAATGGGTGAACAATCTGTGACTTGGAAGCGGAGTACGAAAACCCTATCCAACAACCTCGTTTGGGTCGAACTGGATGCAGAGTTCGGGCCGAGACAAACGAATGCTCAGTGGTCCGAACGACATTGTTACTTGATAGGCGACAAACGTTGCGAGTAAGAAACATCTCAACTTTTAACAAACCTCACAAACGAGAGATTCACCCGGGTTACAGGTGTGTCTCTCTCAAAACCAAATTGGTCTGCAAATGAGTGTAGTTCGCTAACCTGCGACTTTGTTACATACATAAGATGTGGATATCTTGAGCAATGGAAAAATACTATTCTCGACTCACTGTCATTGAATGTGTTTTATTATCTAAAATAGCGGTTCTGATGTTCAGTTCAGACTTCGCGGATACTAGTAAGCTTTCAGTGACTTGACCCGTTTCAGATTTATAGTTGGTATAGGTCTCGCGTTCTCCGAGCTGTTCGATTGTTGATTTATTAGTTTCAGGCGATGCGCTTAATGCAAATTTGCCTTTTTAACCGTTGCAGGTTGCTCAATCCCTCGAAAAACTGGGTGTTCAGCTAGACCCTAAGGATGTCGAAGGCGAAATCCAAACTTGTCTGCGTCGTCTCGCTGAGGACCCTGATCGGGACGTTAGATTCTACACAGAGGAAGCTATGGAAACCTTGCATCTGTGCCCGGAATCCGGGAAGCAAGCGTGCGCAGACGCTCTGCGCACACCATCCGAACTGGTCAGAAGTGAACTGCCTGGTGAGGAACCTGCTATATTGACTGATACACTTGCTGCGGACCACCCAGTTGCAGAATAATGGATATCTTCGGGGGACTTGTCAAACGGATTCATAATACTCCCGGTAGACACTCCGATTCGGTCAGTTTTGTGGATCCCTCATTTCGTTCCAACCTCCGTTTACAGAACTTTTGTATATGCTTTCCGCTCTATGTGCCGATCACATGAACAGTCACTACACATCTTGTTTTCACTGACCGACAGACAGCCGACCACTCCGTTCTGGACGGAATCTGAATACATCTGAATACAGTTTTTTCTACTTCTCCAAAGACATTTGTGTTTGGTTGCCCACACTTTGGTTACTCGTTTTTCGATGCACAAATCTCCGAAGTCAGCTGGTCTACCCGCACCGCGCTATGCTCCATAATCTCTTTTCCTGTATACACCTAAACCACACTCACATCAACTTCGATCTGAACTGTTTTCACACTAGGCGGACTTTTGGCAGTTTGTATTGTCTTCGCTTCTTGTTTTCTGCGGTGATTTAAGAGAAAGAACGCTTTCCTTCAGTGTAGCGTTTCAGTGCCAACTCCGTCGCCCATGATTGTTACGTACATCTGTTCGTTGGTTTGTATCATTGCCTCTTCTAGGATGTAAATGGTAGGAGTCACTTGTCCTTAGGCATCTAATGGGAACCAACATGAGATCCTTGACTGGTGTCTAAATGTATATGCATGTAGTGGTGTTTTGGAGTTTGACTGACGTCTTGTTCCTCTCCTGTCTGCTACAATTGCACGTGAATCTCGAACTGAAGCAATAATGAGCCATACAGTTAAAACTTCATATTTACTATTGTGTGACTAACAATGGCATTGATCTAATGACATGTGCGAAGTCCATAAAGTTGTTGTGTGTGTGGGTAGTTTATCAGGTGGTAGTGATCTTTTCACTGGGTTTGCAAACGTTTCGTCACCAATCGAAGGGATGTCGTCATCGCGTGGTTGGTTGTGTATCTCTCCTTTTCTTGCCTGTAGTTGTATGGTTTTTAGTGTACCCCTGGCCCCCAGCTTGCTTGCTTGTTTGAAAGTCGTCTTGCTCGTACTTTGTTTGTGTCATCCGTGATCTGTGTTGTGTTGTGGTTTGTATCACTTGCGTTTGATTGGTTCATCAGTTACCACTAAGTAACCCTTTGTTTTGGTTGACTCATCCAAGAAAGACAGACCAGAACATAACACAGATAGCAAAATCCGCAATTATGGTAACTTTCAAACAGCCAAGCAGGTTGGAGGTCTGAAAGCAGCACCCAACTGCGCGCTGAAGTCGTTTACCCAAATGGAGACGAAACAACCGCCGATCTCGGCGGTGTCGATCAACCGACACATGACCAACATCCAGTCAGGGCACTCGTGTAATCCGGCACGTTGATGTGTGCTCTGTTCATCCAATATTGATCACTTCAATGATGTTCCGATCCAGCCTTCTTAGTTCTAATCAGTTTTTTTTCAAGAATGGTGTGGCTTAGGCTGTCGTAGTATGTTCCTCCGTAATTTATTCATATGCCCTCCTAACCTATAAGTTGACTGGTGCTGCGCAATAGTCTATACAGTAAACGGTGTAATTAGGGTCACATGGCTGCCCCTTCTACCAAACTTCGTTAAAAAGGACGAGTTTTTGTGCAAAAAAATCGCCAATGAACTATAATATCTCGCAATTGATCACTTCCAGTTATGAGTTTAAAATAGCTGTCCGGATTATGTTGAAGTTTCCCAATCCGGTAGGATTTAATACGTGAGATGTTCAAATCGGGAATAAGAAAACGTCAGCACACATGAGTGGCTTGCACTTGTTCACAGATATCAATCAATCAATCTATCTACCTGCTATAAACCGTGCGCTATAGGCACATTGATTCCAGCCGCTACAGTTTCGATCACCGGAAAACGGGAAAGTGGGATACAAGCCTTGGAGGCGAAGGCATGCTCAGTTTGTTCGAAAATTGGGTAGCTACCTAGACTGCCTGCAAGAGTACTGGTGAAAAGGCCCCGAAGGAACAGGTCATGACTAAGACCGCGCACCAAAAATGCACCAGCCACCGGTGGTTTGAAGAAACCACACCGCTACAGGACTAAGACCGTCGCCGTCGGTGAGATCCGCTGTTACCAGAAGTCCCGCGACCTGTTCATCCGCCAACTGCCCTCCCAGCGCCTCGTGAGGGAATTCACCCAAGACTTCAAGGCCGACCTCATAATCCAGAGCTCAGTTGTCTCTGCTCTACAGGAAGACAGTGATGCCTACTTGGTTAGTTTGTTTGAGGACGCTAACTTGTGTGTTATATTCACGCCAAGCGGGTCGCCATCATGCCCAAGGGCATCCAGCTCGCACGCCGCATCCGTGGTATTCACGTGTTCACTTGCAAGTTCAAAATCTACCAAGGGCCCGATGCGGCCCCAAACGCATCTGCTGTGCGCGATGGTATCATGAGCGAGACATGTATATCCTTGCACTCCCAAGCTTAACAGGTCAGACTACTGAGTCACTGGATCCTGTCAGAGTTCCTCGAGAAAACCTTGCCACTCATTGTCTTGTGGGACAAACTTTTAAGTGAAAGGCTCAAGATTGGCTACTTCAAACTAACTAACCACCCTTCTCGGTTTGGGTAACCGCGAAGTATCAATCACGTCCTACAGCTCTTCGTTTACTGTCTCTCACCCACACTCCTTACCCATCAAATGATGCACTGCGCTTTGTGTCTAAGCCATCGCTCAGAAAGATAAACCAAACGACTGCATTACTTAACTCAACGCTTCAATGTCAGTACTCGTCTAGGCAATTGACATCTCTTGCTAAGAGTTTTCCTTCCCTTAATGTCGATGTATTGTGTTTCCGGGGCATGCACACAAGGCCTCACTTCGGTCCTACATCTTAAGTCGCTTAGGATGGGTTCAGATCATGACGCAATGGATCGTAGTATCTATGGTGTAGGAGATCCACTCAGCCGCAGGAGTGAATCCTCTGTGCTGGACATGAAAGCTATGGTCTCCAATGCACAGCTGCCCAGTTTTTCGTCCCCCAGAGCAATAAACAATTCGAACAGATTATATCACCGCCTCCAGTAGTTAGCTCTACAATCCAACGCAATTTTCGGCTACTGAAACTGCAGAAACTGTCGTTTGCACACCGTTTATGACTGATAAACTGATATTAACTGCATCGCATTCTCCTGAAATACGATGTGCTACTTGAATTTCGTGAGTAGTGAGACATTGGCGCTTTTCTACCACAGTTCAAAATTCGCTGAATCTTCTGGGGCAGTATGCCTGCCACAAAAAAGCAAGGGTATCCTAAGGAGTTACACGAAAATGAATGGTAGTCCAATGGCTGAAGAATGTTCACCAGTCCAAAAGGTCCGGTTTATTGTGAACTCACATGATGCTGACACATTCACAATTCGCGTTCCTCTAAAAACAGGGGAAACGGGCAAAAGTAGGCGTGATGGCTGTTCCTCATTGGTACGAACCGTTAAGGTCAACTGAATAGTCATGCTTGTGTCCGTGACGGACGATACTCAGTAGTTTCGTTTTCTGTGCAGTAACATTATTTTTCCTCCACGTTTACCGGGGAAAAGAATCCATGAAACTTGCGGAGAAACATAATTTGCAGGTATCCTTGCTTTTTAATGCTAGGTCTAAGGGGATCAGTCGTTTGGGGCATTTTTCAGCTGAATTCGCTGCCTAACCCGCTTTCCAGAACGCGCGGTTTTTCATCTATCACAGGGGTATCCTCGTTATAGGTGAGGAAAGTTTTCAGTAACCTCGTGACTATTGACAAGGAAAAATAACTTCGCTTAGACAAGTAATTCGTATATATTAATTACCTTACTATGTACCATTTGGTTGTTTATAATTATATAAAAAGCTGATTCTTTTTAACCGAGAAATTTCACACTTCAGGCATCCATCAGGTCAGTGAAAATCTGGGGGTTAGCTGCATTGATGGCCTCGAATATGTTTCTGTTCAAAGCGGGGTGGAAGGCCTCGTCTGTTTGAATTGATATGTACAATATGCCATGGACGATAAAACTTCACAACCTAAGTACAACTCAGCTGGGTCGAATTGAATATTTGAGCTGTCCAACATACACCAGCGAGACCTTAGACATGTGTTCACCAGAAAGCCGCTTTGATGTGCGGATAAACCATTTTGGTCACCTCGTGCATCCTGTATGAAAGTCTCTCTCACCTAGTTCTCATTAGCAGAGTAATTGGCAAAGTAAATACGAACGTGATATGACCAGTCAAAATATTGTGGAAGGAAGTAGGAATAGATCAGAGTCAGAGCCATATGTTCTGCACAACAACCGACTATAAAGATAGACACATCTGTTAGAACAAGATCTTTTGCTCTATTGGGAGCTTGCAAGAATGCAGTGAAGGTTAATACTCAATAATGAGTGCGTCTTCAATGAAGTTCAATCTGGTTTACTATCCAGAAGCTTGGAAGCCGCAAGTGAATCACTCTTCTTTTAGCTTCTCAAGCACGTGGAGCATATGGTCGGTTTGCGATGGACGCGACTCAGGCTAAGTCAGTGCTCACGCATCCTCCTCAAACCGACACTATTTGCAGGTGATCCAACAGTGTTCTACACCACGCAATCAGATAGAACAGGCAAATGCAATCCCACTCAGAATTATGGCGCCAGCGACGAAGCCAGGAAGCGAAGAAGGCCGACAAATTCTATTTACCAACCAGCGCGGGACATTTTCACCCATGGACCAACCTGCCTATTCTCTGCAGGCGCCTAAAAGGAGACGTGTCAACGTGATCATCGACCGTTGCCAGGTATAATAAATTCGACATAATGAATTCGCAAGGAACGCGAAAAATTCATTCTTTGGCCTCTTCCTCATTCACAGTCACTCAGATGGTCAGATGTTCCTTTTGAATTCGGTTGGATTATTCGTCATGTGCACGACCGTTTTACACCTCATACGAACTTTTCAATAGCAACTGTAATTGGACGGTTGAAATTCGGTGCATTATACAATCTGGTGAAGTGATATTTCAGACACGTTGTGAAGCCGCTAAGGCTCGACTTATAACAGAAGAGTTTTGGCCTGCTGTCTTCGGCCTGGGCCCATAAACCTGGCGTGAGTTGTCATGCAACAGAATTGACAGACATGGGAACATTGTGCGCAACTTGTATTTCTTGTTTTTACTACCTTAAGGTTCAAAATGACGTTGGGCGATTCACCAGAACCCATGGCGAATGGGGAGCTGAAGGTGTGCTGTCACAGCTAGGCTTCCAACAGGATTATGTGTAATCGTATTCTGTGCTTTCTGTGTGGCAATGGCTTGTTCTCCGATCGAACAGTTGGTCAGATCTGGGGGCCGAGAATTTCCGAACTTCAGAATCGGATTCGAAGTGACCTCTGGCAACCTCAGAAGTTCATTGATCAATAACTGAGGAGAAGTACTTGCCTTGTGAGCAGGGTTAAGCAACCTCTATGTTATATCATACTTTACCGTTCATCAATTTACAAACAACATGGGTTGGATTTTACCCAAAGCAATCCCGATTTACTCCTTAAGAAGTCTAGATATTTTGGTTAAGCTATTTGAGAGCACTCGAGCAAAAGTTTAAGCAGCTCTAAAATAGCTGGACATAATGAAGGGGACAGATATATTCTTTTCTGAATTGCGACAAACGCTCGGTGTTTGCTGATGATAGGTATCGTTCCGTTTTTCAGGTCACTGTACTGAACCAACGACCTCTTGATCGGTCCCCAACTTTGTTCAACAAAGAGATGTCTGTTGACTACAT